CTCTGCAACTTGTAAGCCCATCAGTGTGTAGGGTCAGAGTCCATAGCGGGGCGGCACATCCTTGCAGGAACGACTGTGCAGGTGCCAGGCAGTGCTGTGGGATCAGTGCAGCGTCAGGGCAGGAGCAGGAGCTGTGCCCTCAGCCCTACGGGGGTTGGAAGTGACCCTTTCCTGCTTCCTTCACTCAGAAGAAAGAATCACTCCTATATTTCTCTTTTCCTCTTTCTTTTTTTTTTTTTTTAATTTTACTCAAAGAATGGTGGTAAAAGTAGAGCTAAAGGATGACTAAACAGCAAATGCAAATTTTTTAATTTAAAATCGGATTTATAACCTCCCAGCAAGTTCCAGACAAATTATACCTAAGAACCCGTTATTAACACTGCTTAGTGTTGTCCACCTTTGAAATTTAGTTTACATAAAGATTTAGGGGTAGGGCCAAATAATTACGTGGCAGGGTAATCTGTTTTTTGTATCTATGGTTAGAATCATTTAACAGATCCATCCATGGAGTGGTTCAGGAGCAAGTACTCAGCAGCAGCTATTTTGGGTCAGCTCAATGCATAGTCTATTAGAGGTATTACTTCTACTTCAGAGTAATGAATCATATTTGCAGCCAGGAAGTCGCTGGTGTAATTGTCCCTAAATATAATGAACACGAAGCTATTTAAAGGTTCAGGGCTGCCTGGTGTGGTGGAAGGTGCCACTTCTCTGGAGGAAGCTCAGTATTCTTCAGTTGGTAGATAGGAGGGAAGGGCACTGTCAGGGTTTGTGCAGTGGCTATTGCCACATTTGTAGATAAATTCATAGAATTTGTAGATAAAGTTAAATTTTGGCGTAAGAGGCACATACACGGTTCAAAGATTCCCTGTGCATGTTAAAAAGCAGCTTACAAGTATTAAAGCTGTTCCTTCTGGTTATTTATTTATTATTTATTCTGAGGTCTAACAGTGCTTAAACCCACAGTGCAAATCAAAGCAAAGACTCTGAAAATACTCTGACTGTCGCAGACAAATTCCCCAGTGCTTCATTTGACAAAAAGATGGATTAGAACAAACTCGGGAGTGTTATTATTGCCAGCACCATGAACGATTGTTTCTTTTATTTGTATTAATTACCAATTAGTGCTTTGCATGGCGTCAGCTCTCTTGGACGTTCTGAAGGAGATGTACTGCTTCCCTCAATCTCCTCTTAAAGGGAACCCTGTCCCAACAGCAGGTCTCAGCCCACGCACACAAGTGGTCTCTGGGTCACGGCACACTTCAGCCAAGGCCCTGAGGGAGCAGCACACAGGGCAGCACCCACAGGGCAGCACCCACCGGTCCCCCACCGCCATCTCAGCCACATGAGCAGCGTGTGGGATGGCATGGCTGAAGGCTTCTGCTGTGCCTGCCTTACAGAGCAGGCAGCGACCCTTGGGCCTGAACTGTTACGCTGGCTGCAGGGTGCTGCACCATGCTCAGTGCCCCTCCAGCCTGCGCCTTCCCCAGTCAGTGTGAGCGAAGGCCTCGCTTCTGCCTGGGGAAAGGCACGTGGAGGAGCCTTGCACAGGCAGGTGGAGGAGGCTGTGTGTAAGAGCCTCAAGATGTCCCTGAGCCCACAGGTAGCTTGTGGAGATGTCCAGAAGAAAAGTCCAAGGCAGGCTGCTTGAGTTAGATCTGCAGTACCCGACCTGAGAGAGAGAGGCAGCCTGAGGCTCAGGGCTCCAGCTTTTGTACTTTCTTTGCTTGACCATGATCGTATAAGGCTGGATGTGAAGGAGACAGGCTGTTGTTTAAGGTGTCATGTAAAACAGGACTAATATTTTGTCAAGTGGCCGTATGAAATGCAGGGATGAGCTTTTTGTGGCCCAGGTTGTGTTAAAAGGGTGGTTCTAAACTAGCCCGCTGTATGCCATCAGCTGATCTGTCATTTTCCATAATTCATGAGCGCCGGGGCAAGATTAGACAATAGAGTCCTGGGCAAGAATTCATTAATTTCCGCCGTGTTTTTAGAAATGTCAGAGGTGTAAAGCTGAGAATAATAAAAGTCAAACTCCCTAGATATATCTACTGTGTTCAGAAGAATATTACTCTGAGCATCCCTGATAGTATACGTCTCGGCGTGCGTGTGTCTTTAATTGGTATGCAAGGAGTTTATCTACTTTACTGCCTGCACTTATCAGAAAAGATATAAAATGGGATGGTGATAATGGCTGCCTTCAAAGAAAAAGATATGTTCTTTCGAGGGTGTAAGTGCAATAAATCTTTCTAGTTTAAGGGCTCACTGGAAGCAGAAAGATTCTGTTCTGCTGACAACTGAATGTGGGGAACTTTCCCAAGGGAAAACAAATCATGTTTCTCCATTCAAAATAGAGTAAAAAGTCACTGAAATTCAGAATCCGGAATGTGTGTTCCAGTATTTCCTACTGACTCCTCCACTGATTAAGACACACCTTCATGCTAAAATGTTTCTCAGATGGTTAAAATGAAGTACCTGGCACTGAATGCACTTAGGATGCACTTGTGAGAGGTTCCCACAGTAGTCAGCAGTTCAAATTTAAAAAAAAGACTAAAATTAACCCACTGACTTTGGGCCTTTCTGTCTGTATTTGTTTGCTTGTTTGTTTGTTTGTTGAACTGTGCCACAGGAATTAATTTGCTTAGAATAAAAGACACAGTGCTGAGTTAATTGCTATTCCAGAAACATTCTGTTCCATCCACGGAAGGCAGGGTTAAAAACTGCAGGCACCTATGGGGTCTTCTGTAAGTTGAAAAGAAATCCGCATATTGACTTTAGAAAAACCCACATTATTCATAAGAATCAAACCCTGTGTGTGACTGCTGTGGTGAAACAAAAAAGACAAGGGGGTTTTAAATTGATCTGTCAGTACGATACTTTCCAGTGCTCACTTTGCTCATGCAGCCAGCAACTGATGTTAGCATGAATTTAAATAATTCCTCCTGCCTTGAATAATGACCACGAAAGTTGAGTAATGGTATCTAACAGATTTCCTAACTTTCGAGGAGCTGGCTCTTATCTGCGACTGTTTGTTTGCTCGTCTGCTCCATCCCTAATTGCCGCAAGGTGCTCCACCGACGTATGACTAAACATAATACAATTTGATTTGTGTTGCAGTGCTCAGCAAAGAACAAATCTGTAAAATTACAACATGTGAAAGCTTAACACAATGATATAAAATGGCAGTGGCACGGTTCATATCTTAAACTGACAGGCTGATGGTGATTATTGCAAGGACAATGCCCTGCATATGTCAAACGATTTGCAAATAATTTATGTCACCTTATCCTCCATTATTGTTTTTGCGGAGGACATAAACTGTGTCACTAATATTAAACTGTCTGCAAAAAAGAGCCTACCTCAGCTTTTTCCTAGCTGAGAACGCAAAGACATCTGCTCAGAGACAAACATGCGTATGGCCATCATTTGTCCAACATCTTACACATTGTGAAGGTTTTTTACTTGAAATGCCAACCTATGTGGCAGATGATGTATGTGTTTCTTCAGTCCTGTGATTACCAGCACAGAGCTGCTCCGCGGCGCTCTTCACCTCATCAGTTCCACAAGCTGCACTCCAAGGTGTGTGACACATTTGCAGGAAGATGGCATCTGACATGCAGCAAGGCAGAAGCATTCTGGTGTGAATATTTGACTCCAGATTTTGTTCAAATCAGGGTCAGATTCTGACCTGGAGAAATTAGTGTGGGTAGAGATTTAGCACTACAAAATAGCAATTTGAAAACTGGAATGAATATATTTTAAAGATTGGAAAGCAAAGGAAAATGGTGCTGTCTCCTGGGGACTCCTAAGCGGCTGCAAAGGAGAGGGGAAGGAGGAAGTCTGTACAAATGACCTGGGTTTTATCCGTTTGGAAATAAGCAGAGGACAAAGCGGGCTTAGTTATTTCTGTTTGTTAACTCGCATCGTCTCGACTGCTGGGTTCTTTGTTTAGGTTTTGATGGTTCATTTGTTACTACCAAGAAATGCCTTTGAAGGGTTATTTTCAGAGGCCATTGTGGTTAAGAGAGAAGCAAAGAATGCAGTGCGGAGGTTGGAGCGTGGAGCTGGGAAGGCAGCCTCCAGGCTCCTGGTCCAGATTTTGCTCTGCTGGCATTTGGGACAAATTACTTGCAACTGCTGTGTCTTGACTTTGCTCTTCTGTTGAACAGGTTTTGCTATCTGACTCATCCACTTGGTTCAGTTTGCCAAGTATTTTGTAATCTTTGGGTAGAAATCACTGCTTTGATTGCAGATCAGTGACGTTTCAAACGTGTGTTGTAGTGATGCGTCAAACCACTTCTGCTGGCTGCAGTGCAAGAGATGGCTCCAACTCACTGCAGAGAGAGCACAAGGCATTGACAAACCCACTGATCTGAGCTAAGGACTGAAATGGAACTCCTTTCTCCTACTGCTATCAGTTTTTCCTCTTTTAAAAACTTCATTTAAGCATTTCACGCTCTTAACCCCTCAGCAGAGAGGAGTTGCTCCTCGCACTCCCAAGCTTTTCTCAGCCTGCTTCTCAGTAACTCATTGATGATTTTTACTATTCTAATACAAGCATTCCAAATAGATTTTATAGAGCTGTGTTAGCCAAATGAGTTTTAGTCTTAATTCCTGTTATTTTCCAGTGTTGAATTTTAATCAGGGGAAAGAAAAAAAAAAAAAAAAAGAAAAAAAAAAAACACCACCTTGTTGCAATTTTCTGTGATTTGTGAGTCAGAAGAGCAGATTTTAGGCATCGTGGCCTGTGGAAACACATCGTGGAACTGAGTGACTTTCTCAGCCTTCTGTTTCCTGCAGAAGTGACATGAGGACTCAGAGTTGCAGAAGGTGGTATGGTTAGGGTGGGGTTGAAGGGTGCTTCTTTCCATCTAAGCAAGCCTAGAAAGCTGGTTTTTCTGTTTGCTCTAAGGTGATTTTAGTGGTGTAAGGAATCTCTTCCAGTGCAGAGCAGACAGTGGGATCCATAGGCATAAAAACTTTTGCTATGTTCCTTTTCCCAGCATAGGAAGACCATGAAGTAGCAGCAAAGGCAGGAAGGGCCCCAGGACAGCGCGCTGAACCAAATAAAAGCTCCTCCTTCGAAACAGGTACGCAGGAGCTGTCCTGTGTGTGTGTCAGAAACGTCCCCATCAGCTGATGGGCAGCATTCTGCACAGCACTGTTTTTGTGCTTTGCTACAAGCGTGTTTTGACATAAGAGAAAGCCCTGTGTGCTCATGCTTGCTTGTCATACAAAAGTTAACAAGCAGGTCTGGCCTAATGCTGGTGATTATCACACACATGCATAAACCTACCTGTCTTTTGCAAAACACTATAACCTATGACAAAATATGCTGGAGATGAATTTATTCAAGTAGATAGAAAAGTACCCTTCCCATCATGCCCCCAAACTACTGATCTCCATCAACTGGTTCTTTAAGCATGCTACAACACAGACTTAAGCTGCAAATGAAAGAGATCTTAGAGATAGTCAGTAATTTGGCTGTATACTTCTTGGCTAGGAGGCACTGTAGATCAAAATACTCTCACTTCTGAGGGAAGGAGCCAACAGAAACTGCAATGGAATTTTAGAGAGGAATTTACAGGAATTGACGTGGAAGCAGAAAGTGGACTTGAAGGGAAGTTTTTATTGTCTTGAGAAGAAAAGAAAGGGGCAGCTCTTAGCCTAACAGCTTCCTGACATCTGAAAGATGAGAGGCATTCATCACAAGATAATCTCAGGTGATTATCCAGGGCATCAGTGACAGAACTGCTGATCACAAGAGTGAGAGAATCATGTGACCAGCAAAAGATAGCTTCAAAGTCAAGAGAAGCTGGCCAAAATTCTGCTTTGTAGATAAAAGCACAGAGAGGAGATGCTCCCATCCATGAGGGGATGACAGAGAGAGCCTGAGGTCTATGAGGAGAGAGGTTGATCCACAGCTGGAAAGTCTTTGGCAAGAACTGGTAGAGAATGTGAATTCATTATGAGAAGACAAAGGCAAAAAAGGAGCACGCTCTGGCAGCAGGATCATGCCGTAGTTTAAGCAGCATGAGTGATGGCTGCTCTTCACTCCAGCACCACAAAATTGATCAAGGCTGAGCAGCACTAGTTCCTCCCCTCAGTGCCTGCAACAGGGCACCAATACCCCCTGATGGCTCCTGCTCCACCTAGGAGGATGGCCTTCCACTCGCCAGCCCCTTCGCTGCTCTTGTGACTGGGCATCCTCTTCATTCTCATTTCAAATTCTTGTCACTGAACTGAAGGCGCAGACCCTAGGAGACAGCAACTCATGTAGAGAAAGTGACCATCACGTCCCACATCCCTGAGGTCTCTAAATTTCTTCTTAAATGTAAAAAAAAATCTACGTTATAAAGCATATATGTGCAGTAAAGCTTGCTTTAAAAAAAAAAAAACCAGCTGGAATACTTCACCATTGTCAGATAGGAAAGGCATGATGACGTCAGCCTCTAATGTCAGCTCATGGTTTCAAGTCAGCCTCTATGCATGCTGGTTTGGTAGACAGCAGTGGTTTTGACTATGTCTTCTTTCCAGAAAATGTATTAGCTGGAGCCCAAAAGGGCCTCTAAAACAAGTCCTGTTCTTTTTTTTTTTTTTTTTTTTTTTTCTTTAAACCACAACAAAAAAAATGGAGCCCAAAGTTAATTTCTTTTCAGTGGTGTCCTTTCTCTACAGGGCTGAGTTCTTTGACCGTATTTGAAGCTGAGAGCAAGTTTTTACATCTCATTCATGAACCCAGAAAATGGAGTGTCCATGGGCATTCCTACCTGGCCAGCTCCTCAGCTCCACATCACAGTCTTTCAGGGAGAGGATGGGGCACACCATGGTGGCACAGTGGTTTGCAATTATAAGAGCACACACTCACCTCATTTCTGTGGAACCATGTCTGTGTAGGCCGTTTGTGCATTTATATGTGAAATAACCTCTGGTCAGGTAGCAAGTATCTGGGATTTTTAATCCAGTAGGTGACTGATGGCCCCTGTGCATGGATACAGTTACCTGGGTATAAACTCGCTTCTCTTGATGTTGCTTATTTTATTTCCTGTGCCCCCACTACTGCCTTCACACAATGGTGTTTTGCCAGGCTGGTGACTGTTCCTATGGCAAAACCTTCCAGCCCAGGCAAGTCCTAGAAGGTGAAAGTAGTTTCAACATTTCTTTCCAGCCATTACACAATGGGCCCTGAGCTTCTTGCCAAACGCTGCTTTTTGCCAAGTTGGCAATGGGAGTGTGAGCCAGGTACCGCGACTGTGCCACACGAGTGCATGCTCAGCCGGTGAGTGACAGCAGAGAGATCCGCCAGGAAAGTTTCACACTACATCACAGCACAGCCGGACTGCACTAATGGTTTTTACTTCCAAGTTCCACTTTCATCCTAAGATCAGATAACAAATAGCACTTTTTCTTTGTAACAATTCATTAATCAGAGAAATGATCCTTGCTGGTGTTTAGATGTTTTACTTAATTTGGTGCTTCTGGTCTGCTGCCCCAGTAGTGCCAAAATTATTATTTCTCACCCAGCAGGTGATAAATAACAACTTCAGTCATGATTAATACCATGAATTTCTCAACCTGACTAATGCAAAAAACTTCAAACCTGCAGAACAAGTGGGTGATAATTGTTGTGAGAGCCATTGGAGCTGCACTCTGCTTGTAAAGAAGGAAAGCCACAGGAAATGAAGCATTTTCAGGCAGCGTGGCTGATCCTAAGAGGCATCATTAAGTGCAGCTCAGCAGCATTCTCCATGTGCAGGGCTTGCTATGCTCTTTTTTTTCCACCAGCCCACATTTTAAGTACATTTGAGAAGCAGGAGATTGCCAGATTATTTTTTTTTCCTTGGAGAGGTGGAAGAGAAATAAAAGACAGAGAGCACAGCAGATGTATATCTCATTAACACCACTCAGTACTACAGTTTTTACTATCTGATGTATGGAGTGATAAATCCTAGAGAAAGCTGCTAAATCCGAAGATCCTTTACCTAATGTTTCTTTGGTAACCTCATCACAGCAGTACAAAATGCAGCAGCAGGCACTCCCCAGTGGAGAACTGCCTTCAGGGAGGGACAGGAGAAGCAGGGGCTCAGGGAGAGCTGTCAGCTGGAAACCAGGATCAGCGCTGTAAGGCCTGCAGCTGAAATTCCAGCTGCTTTCACACTTTCACATCCTGGGCTGTTTTCATGTCACTGCTCACAGTGAAGTAGGGTGGATGCTCCATTTCCCACGCTGTACATTTGGATACAGGGCCCCACGCTTCTACCCACTGAGCTAACCTGTGCTGGCCAAGGGATGTTCAACTCCGTGGGAGGCGGGGCAGCCCTTGCTTATTAAAAGCCATTAGGAAGACATGGGGCCATGCAATAGTTCAGTTATAATCAAAAAGAGAGAGAGAGAGAAAGGAGATACCCTCGAACATTTGCAGCAGAGGTGTTAATGCGTTTGGACAAGATCAAGACACACAAGGTTCCAAGTTGGGTTTTTAGTTTTTAGAATGGCTTTTGTTTGCCCCATGTAAACAACCCCCAGTCTATATTATTTAATGTTCAAATTCATGATGATGGTTGCTGTCCTCCCAGGCAGCAGGCCTTGCTGCACAGATTCAAGGCAGAGACACTGCCAGCAGTTAGATAACCTTTTGCCTACAGGGCAGAACTCTGAACATCCAAAAAGGATGCACAGTAACACTGCCACTTTCCTTGTGTATGAAGAGTTATATAATTATAAAACATTTCTAAAACTGGACTTTGTTTCAGTCTGCAGCAATCACATCTGTCATACACAGTAAAAGCAACAGTAAACAATAAAATCCCTCTTCTATTTGTTGTCCTCAGCCTACAAGTGCCTGCAGTACAAGTGCCTGCTGTACCACCACTCTCATCTCTGAAACCAGTTTCTCCATCACCCGACAACTGATGCAGAAGTTGCTGTAGTCAGGCAACACAATGCCACAGCAGCACCCTGGGAACAGAGGAGCAGTTATTTTCACCACAGCTTTCCAATTTGGTTTAGCTCTGTCAGGCAAGGAAAGCACGTGCCACTTTCCAGCAAGAACTCATTCAGCTTGAGCATCTCCGTATGAAACAACTAATGGAACAGAAAGGCAATGAGAAGAAATCCACCAAGGGTAAGTGATGTACATGTTGCTCAGGCTCCACAGTGTCCATTCGCTTGTAAATAAGTGCTTTTATGACCACGTGTACCACTTTGGCTGAATGATCCTTGCAGTTCTTGTGGTAGGAGCATATTCAGAGGATGTACATTAAGCCATGGCACAGCTGCTTCTGACATGCCTTGTGCTAGAAATCTTATTTTTGTCCTAATTTTGGGAAACAAGTTCCTACCTGGCTTTATGGCTGGTCATGTTTCAGCTTTTCATTCTTTTTCTTGAGCTGTGCACAGCAGCTCAGCAGCAGTCATTGTCCTTTATAGGACTGCAGCTTCCCAGAGTTAGAGCATGGTCTGCAAGCCGTGATCCTCAGTGCTGAGTTCATGAAAGCATCACGGCTTCCTGTATTGCTGGAGCTCAATGTCCTCCATCTATGAGTGTAATAGCCATCTTCAGCATCAGTAGCAAAGACTTTTCTTGTAGTTTTCAGTTTAGAGGTTGCGTAGAAGGACAAGCAGTTATGAACAATCCGGGTATGCTCTTAAGGAAATCAAAAATCCTTTTTAAATTTTGTTCTACTAATGAAGGTATCAAAGTCAGACTCAAGAAGCAAGAGGGGGAGGGGTTACGTTTTCAGAAACTATTCAGGTTAGCTTGCAAATCCCTGCATGTCCTCTCACTTCAGAATTGAAAGCTCCATGTAATTTGCCTGTCTCCATATCCTTAAGTGCAGTCTGAGTAGCTCAGATTTACACAAACTTTGCTTGGAACAGATCGCTATCTTTTGCTGAACCACTTCCACAGCATTTGGGCATGTTTTCTACATGAGACATTCAGAGTGGGTGAATACATACAGTACCTCAGCGGGGTTTTTTTCCTGTGAAGTTAAAAGCTTGCTAGGTGTTACCACACAACATTTGCAATGACTATCAGCTCAGGATTCAAATTGTTGTCTTACCGGTGCTCGCTCATCCTCAGAGAAACCTGTTCTTGCCAAAATGCAGCAGTGGGGTTTAATCCAACCCTGTCATTTCAAAGCAATCTCTCAGATTAGTTAAGAAATAGGCCAGTGGCCACTGCAGCCTTAAAAGAGGAAGAATACATGCCCACTGGTGCTTCTCAGGCTATGTGTAAGTTTGTGCCTGTGCACAGGTGGCTTTGGAAATCCACCAAGTAAATTATTTCTGTAGTTCAATCTACTGGTAGCAGAACTGCCAAAACCACTGGAGCTGAGTTAAATCCTGCATTCATGAATGGCGCTCTGAAGTTCATAGGAAGTAAATCCAAGTTTAATCCTTCTGGATTAAAATACTTCCTTTTATCGAGGATCCCCCACCTTGTGGCACTGCTAGCTTTCAAGCCTGTCAGAAAGGATTTCACTCAAAGCAGTGCTTATCACAATATGCCATTCCCCCCAGTCCAAGAAAACCTCCACAACAAATTCACTTCCTGGTTTTTCCAGAGGTGACATTAATGCAGGAAAGGTGACCCTAAAGAAACTTCTGGGTTCTCAGCTACCAACACTGATAGCAGAAATTGCCACTAAGCAATTAAGAGATGGTTGTTTTGTCTGAAATCCTTTTCAAACTAAAGCCCAACTTGCGAAGCTAAGAAGATGAAACACAGAACAAGGGCAACGTTCCTCTCCTAGCAGAAGTGATTTGATAGAGAGCCAAGCCCCGCTTACGCACAGATACTTACCTTAGTTCAACTCCATTGTGAGTCCCAGATCAGAAAGCAAGCTGCAGGAATTCAGCTCCATTTTCCAGTTGAGCTGGCAGTGCTGGTCCCTTGCAGTGTGAATAAGTAGCAGTGGTTCATGAGCCACAGAGCCAAGAGAGACCCAGCCAATGCAAGGTATGCTGCTGCTTTCTGCTCAGGTTTTAAGGAGGAAACAGCAGCCAAAAATCTCGATCACTGCGTAACAGTTCAAGCCATGCAGTAATTCTGACACTGGAAGGTACAGCCAAATAAATATATTTCATGGTACCAAAACACAATGGTTCCAACAAGTCAGACTGCTCAGGCAGGTTCCCAGTTTGTGTAGAGCGCGTGAGGGCTGGTTTTGCCACCAGCATTTTCCCTGGGTTGTTAGCACTTCTGGAAAAGCATCAAGCACAACTGACACAGCAAAGCAAAGTGATGCTATTTAACATGCTCAAAGATACAACAGAGAGACACAGGCCTACGCACAGTCTCTCTTTCCTTGAAAAGGTCCAGATTGCCAGGGTTTTTGGAGCACCAAAGGATATAGTTTTGCTTACTGCTGTATTATTTTATTGTGCTGCCATGCATCACAGGATATGGAGGCAGGAGGACTGATGCATGCCAGCATAGGCTCACACCACCTTATTTCAGGAAGCAAACCACCCCAGCAACTACTTCAAAGTTCAATAGCAGTGTTAACATACTGAAGGTAGAAACAGGCAGATGCTTAGCCAGCAAATTTCCTTTCAAACAAAGAGCAAGACAAACTGAGGGAAAAAACCACTGGAATTTAAAAAAAAAAGAAAAAGAACTCTAATCTGGAAACCAATGGTGAACAAGAAGTAAAAGCAGAAACAAGGCAAACAGAGTAAGACACAATGACAACCAGTAGCTGTTCTGACACACTGACACAAAATAAGGACTGAATAGAACCTCATCAGTTGTGATGTTGCAAAGCTACAAGACATTTTTGTCACTCAGTTCCTGGATGCATTTTGGCTGAGGCAGGAGAACTTCAGTTCTCTAACGCTGTCCAGAACAGTAATTTGGACTGTTTACCATACAGCTCTCCTCCAGGTAGAAGTGTTATTGTAATAGGAATAGTATGAGGGGAAGGGGAAAAAAAAGCCCTAGAGCCCTATTTTTGACCACTCGTTTACAAATGCTGGCACTTTTGTCGACATTAATTTTTGAAGTGCAAGCACATGAAAGGCTCGGGAGTGCTGGCAGAAAGAGGAAGTGTTTTCCTATAATGAGTTCTATTACAAAGTCAAATGATTCATTCGCTATGTCACGTATTCCTTGTGCTTTTTTACTGTAAGGATGAGCAGAAACTATTCCACTGGCGTGAAGCTTAGTGAAAGCCATTTAGAAAGATCAGAGGGACTTTTACAAATATTTTATTCTTTTTAGTACAGACACAATATTCTTTCAAGGTCACTTCAGAGTAAGTGGCATGCGGCCTATTGAAATCCAGGTGCCCATACAGTCATTTCAAGTTAAATGTGCACAGTGTATTCTACAACACTAACACTACATTTGGAGAGGAGTTCTCGCTTCAGAATGATTTGGCAGCTTCAAAACCAATTTAATAAACATTTTCAAAACCAACTCAATAAACAACAAAAACCAAAGCAGAAATGCAGCACACCCTGACCACCAAACAAGACGCTTATCTCAGTAAGGACCTTTTAGCACATCTGGCTGAAGCAGCTGCAGGGCTATCTTTATCGTGACCTTCAAAGTATTGCTGCTCTATTCGCCTACAAAAGGCTGTGAGGTTACCATAGTTTTTCACTTTTTCAGAGAGTTCATCAGTGATTAGTTGGGTAGTAAGGATTGTAAACAGATGTCCGAATACCAGAGCATCTAATTCAGTTGGTCTGTAAAAACAGAAGAACAGAACAGATATTTTGGAAGGCAGGTCCTGATTGAGAAATATCCCATCTCTGGTTTGAGTAACCTCCAGGTAACCATGCCATCTAAGAACTGAGAATTAAACAAGCAACAAGGAATTTAGCAAACACGTGGGAAAGGAGCATAGTATGAGCATAGTTCTCAGTATCTCAGCTTTCTTTCCTTTTGGTAACTGGGAAATGTAAAAATAACACTTATAGAAGGGGCACAGTTACTGATCGAAGTCAGCCATGCTCCACCATTGGTTTTGTCCCTTTTATTTATTAAAAGGGATAGATAAACAAATAAATATTTTATTTATTTTTCTAAATAAATAAATGAATTGACTAAAAATTACAATAAAAGAGGGGGAAAACAAAGCTCTTTCTATTCCCTTTTTGTGCTTCTTCATACTCAAGAGCTACTTATCCAATTAGAAAAGGAGCTCCAGACTGACAACAGCTGGCGATGTTTATTTCATAGAAGTGGACACAAAGCAGGTATCACAGAAGACTCTTTTTAGAAGAGTCTTTTTCAGCATCTCCTGGGTAACTGTCACACAAACACAGTGGTCATTTTGCTGTTTTTCACTGTACTCCCCTACTACTGTTTAATCCACAAAACCTCCAACTGGCTGCAGAGGATACCTAAAAACAAGAGCCTGAGAAACCTGGAGGCTTTCAGCACAGTTCTTTACACTATAGTTATCAGCCCTGAATACAACCCAGGAAGTACTCCTCAGATGTTATTTAGCATTTAATTTAAATATGTAAAAAAAAAACATGAATTACAGAGAGAAAAAAATAGCATTTTGCACTTGGCATCAACGAATGGAAGCAAACGACATCTGACAAAGGCCAGGTTGTTCCTTCTGTCTCCTGTCCTGTGCTCAGTAAAGAACATCGCCTAAGAAATACAAGCTATAGAAGTTTCTTTCTTTCTTTCTTTTTAAGAAATCAACTGTATACAGGTGCAAGCTTGTAGCCTACATGAGCTGTGGTGCTCTTTCCTTTTAAAATCTATAATGACTTGTTTCTGAAATTGTATTGCAGCCACCCATTCAAATTTCCTCAACTATTAACGTAAAAGAGAAGGTTTCCATATTTATAAACATATACCTGTATGCACGTTTTTAAATATACTTATATAGATACACAGGTGGGGGTTTGCTGTGGATGTACCATTTCTGTAGGGAGCAACTTACTGCTTATTGAAGAAATATGGTTGTGTTCCTAATCTCTGGGAGAGAGCCTGACAACACTGGTCTACATCTTCAAGCACCTATCAAAACACACGAGATAAGATATTGTCAGGAAAGAACAACAGCAAATATATATATGTACTTCCTTACTGTATTTGTGCTGGCAGAGGGAACAAGGAATATACAATGCTGGAGCATCAAAAGCTGCTAAAGGCAGCAGCTAAGTGTTATTTAATCACACATTTAATGTAGAGCCAACTCTAATTAAGTGCTTTCCAAGAAATTTTTAACTTAGCTTACTGAAAGGTACTAAGTTGCGCATCAAATTGCTTTCTTTTCCTTTTCTTTTTAGACTACTGGGAAGTGAAGCTGCAGTCCTGCAAAGCGTGCTTATTAATGCCACAGGAGAGGGACAGCAATTCAAAATCTGTTTTTCAGGACCGTCAGCTGAACTAACGTGAACAGAGATGCACGTGTGGTAAAGCATCCTTCCTGCCACTCCATCAGACTGCGAATCATTTAAGATTTATCACTGCTGATGAGAGATACCTGACCTCACATAACTCTGCACAGAACTTTGTTGTAACAGTTGCAGTTAAATAAAGTGTTACTTCTCTTAAGTCTTAAATAAAAGAACAGTGGAAAACACTGGGAAGAAATAAGCCTTACCCCTCATACTGACCTGTTCGAGCGTCTTGCCAGCCCACCCAATGGCCTTCATCTTCCTTCTTATCTCCCATTGCTTCTGATAGGACAGAATGCGGTTAAGAGGCCAGGGGTAAGGAGAGCCATACCTCGGGTGAGTAATCTTTGTTAAGAAACAGAAAGTTACTTTGTTACAATCTAAAAATGCAGGCAGCTCTATTTACAAAACAGCTAAGAGAGCAATAAAGAAAAAGAATGTTGTGTGATACGTTGCAATTATTTGTGCAGAATTTATTGTTTTCAGTATAACCATTTGAAATTATTACCTTGGAAAGATATGCAAAACTCATATTTGTTCTGCAGTCACATACCTCCAGTAAAGTTACAACTTCCCTGAAATGTATACGCAAGCAGAATTCAAGTGAGAAGACTGTATCATTAACGGAGCTCAATGTTTCATTTATGAGTAGGGACTTCCATTTGTGAGCAAAAGTGTTTTCTCATTAAATTTTAATTAAGATAAATGTTGCAGAACCACTCACCTCCTCTACTGTAACATCATCACACCACTGCAGATAGAGCTAGGAACAGAAAGAGCACTTACTACAACTTCCTAATAAACGAGAATACAGATACAATCATTTCTCACTAGTAGAATTTTCCTTTCTGTATTAGATTAAATTTCCATTTGGTGCCTTCTATTAGACTTCTGAACACAGTGAAGAAATTAAAACCAGAGTCACAAGCCCAGCTCCAAGTTGCTGGCTCGCAAGCAGCGGAACCAAGCTGGAGCCAAAGGCCTGCTGCAGTTGCCTGTGCCACACACAGCTCAACACCCAGCCATGTGCCTGCGAGCATTTCCAGCACTGGCCCCACGGCCCCACATCACATTAACAGGCCATGGGCACGACCCGCGGGGCAGGCCAGCCTCCAGCAAGGCACAGCAGCTGTGTGGAAGGCGGCAGTGGGGCTGCACAGCCAGCAAGGACTGCTGGCGTTTTCCATCCGTGCAAATCAGGCACTTCTACAGCTACAGGGCGTGCTTCAGACAGGTAAATGGAGCTGTACACATGGCTTGTGTCTGCAGGAATATGTCATCAAGTAGTCCACAGGATCCACAGAATTTATTCCTGTCTCATTTCACCATAAAAACTGATGACCTGATCAAAGATTTTAATCTAAGAACAAACAGTATTTCCAGAACAAGAAAATATCATGAAGCATTCTTGCCTATAATCCCTTATGGAAGTATGAGCAGTAACTATGGTTTGCTGTACCTCCGCTGTCAGGAGCATATTATTGACTAATTCCATGTAGGCTTTCATCTCAGCTTTTTGGACTTCATCCAACCCATCGCTGAGAGAATGGCCCTAATGGGGAAAGAAAGAGACACGTAAGAGAGGATATTGGAATATTCAGCAGTGCCTGACCCAAAGACCTCAGAAGTCAATGAGCTTTGGTTCAGATACTGATCTGTCACACAACACGTCACAAGTTACACACGTACTCTCTACATAAAGTGCCCTTTAGAATGAAAAAGAAATAATCGTAATGTAACAGAACTGATCTGCAATAAATGTAGTTATTACCAGTCAGAGGTGAGCACACAGCCTGTGTCAAGAAGTAAACACAGATTTACATCTGTGCTACAGCTTTATGAAGTGCTCAGTGAGAAGACAATGTTGTTGAAAATACAACTTCAAAATTTACACCAGTGATTTCTGGGTTTAAAAATTCAGAGACAGAGACGTAGAAAACCAGCTGCAGAAACTGGCAGTGGCACGCACGTGTCCTGCACAGAATTTGCTTCCTGAATTTGAGGTAATGTTAAATTGAAACATTTCCACCTCGGCACTCTCACTTCAGAGCGTCTTTCTTTTGAACCAGCACCAGATTGCTGCACCGTTGTAACAATGAAGTAACATTCCAGCAGAGCACAGCAACTGCACAGCAGTGCTAAAGAAGACTGGTAAGGAACCCAGTAATAGATGCAGACTGTGTGTAATTACCTTGGCTTTCACAAACTGGACTATGGGCCCGAGTTCAGATACTACTTGGTTTCCCACATGAATAAAGGGCACTTTGCCTGTAAAATGAGAAATGTATTTTATTAGGAGCTTTTTATACATGTCAACTATAATTTCCTATTTTCAGTGCAATTAAATATCACAAGTACGCCTGAACATCAGTCTTGGTTTTTTGTTGTTGTTTTTTCTTTTTCCAGATGAACACAGGTCAAGTTGTTACATATGAAGCTCACACAGCTTTCATTTGCAATAACCAGTGTAACTGCCCGATCTTCTTCCTTCTGACCCTCTTTGACTTGCAATTCCTTACCTCAAAGTTACTGAATGAGATCTATTGACCTGTATTTTAATAACGGATTTTGCTTTGCTGGAAAGACTGAATTCAGCATTGCTCTGAAGTACAGGTGGGAAATCCCAGGCAATCAGACTGAGCCCTCGGACAGTCTGACAAGAAGACGTTCCCACCCTCCCTTCCAACCCACGAGCAGGGAAAGGGCTGCTGAAATGAATGTGGGAGATGTGGCACCGAGCCCAGAAAAGCAAGAGGAGAAAGCAAAATGCACACTCAGCAAGGCTGGATCTTGTCTCTCTCTCCTCCTATCCTCCTATCCTCCTAGATTTCCAGTGACTGGGACCAGCTCATAAAGGAGAGCTGAGGGCTCCTCTTCCTTCAACCCACCCTAATCACGTTGCTCATTTTCTAACTCTTCAATCAACTGCAATGACAAACATCAATCTTAAGTACTGTGTAAATTTAAGACTAAATGTTTATGATTATTTACATGACTGAAACTGGCCACAAGACAGACACGCACTGGGCAGTTTGTATTACTGAGAAAGCCCTCATGACCAAATACAGCAAAGAAGCAGCCCAGTGCAGTGGGACACAGCACACTCTTACTTTCCTGTCTCACTGTGGGCAAACTCTGCTCTCTACAAAACGCCTGAAGAGCAAGATCAATACCTGCCCAGCTCCAAACATATTAGCAATACATGCATTCCTTTCCACTGACATAAAAGCTACTGCTGGCCTAGTTCACACGGAGTTCATGCTCACAGCACATCCAGTCTTTATTTTTACCCTGAGATTCACTCTCACTGGCCCAGCTGGCCTCAGGGTAAAGAAGTGCACCATACCAAAGGCTGCACTGCGTCCGTACGCTGCGTACTGTGAAAGAAAACGCAGCCCCCTCTGAGCTCCAGAGCTTCACAATATCCATCAGGCTCCACTTCACACACAACAACCAGCCCTCTGGTGCTCCGACTCCCTCGTAATGGATTTTCTCATTATGTGGACTGTGAGGTAAATAACCTTCACCCCAAAAAGATGAGATACACATCTGTCTACTGCTGTCGCGAAACTGTTGGTGGCAGAGAAGGAGTGGACAGCAATTAAAATCCTGTTTTGAATTATCCTTACAGAATCAAAATATTGTAAAGAAAGACAATTGGGAAAGTGAATAAAAATCCAGGAGTAAGGGCAAAAAGAGCATGTGTAGCTATGTTTAAAATTGAGCTGGTATCCGTTCCCTTTGTGCTCATTTTCATCAGCCAGCAGAAAGAAGAAGGGGTCAGACCAAAATTACAGATCAGGTGCCCACAAGTGTGGCCATGGGCTGGGGAGGCAAAGGGCACAGGGCTGCCATCTGTCCTGCTGCTGCACACTTAAGAAGCTCCTCTATGCAGACATTCGGCATTCCAACACAGCCTTTATTTATATATCATGTATATAACTCCAAAGTTTGGCTAGCTTTTACTGTTTCCACTTGCTTTGCCTGCAATACCAGCAGCAACAGAAGCAATACGGGTGGCAGCCATGCTGACAGGCAGGCTCAGCTAGAGGCAGGCAACTGGCAAAGAAGCACCTCCTTCTGCAACAAAACACTGGGAAGGAGTGCAAGGACTGCCAGACCAGAGAGCCCTGCAGTCAGCAGCTCCCGCTGGGTTTTAGGCAACCTTCTGGAACCGGGCTCTGGGAAATTTTAGGCAACCAGTCACCTTCAGCAGAAAGCAGACTGTACGCTTCATATGGTGACTTCATTGTTGGTAGGTTTGGTGGGGTGCTGGTCTGGGGTGTTTTCGTTTGGTTGGTTGTTTTTTTCCCCAGACAGTCTCCTTTATCAGAGAAAGGTTTAAAATCACCTGTCACCCTCGGCTGACAATGCACTCACTCTTCATTTTCGCCCTGTATTTACATACTGGCTATTATCTCTCAGGTAAGGTAACAAAAGAGGCTCTCCAGTATTGTCACCCTCTCACATACGGGAGAATATACCAGCACTCGCTGATCGGCAGGAATATTCCCTGGATGCAGAATAAAGACATTCTAGGAAATGTAAGTCTTTCTGCTTAGGCCTTTTAGAGAAGATTGCCACCAGAGGTTTGAGCTGCACTGACGTACTGCGTTCACAGCCTCGGTTCCGTGTTGTACCACCGTTAGTTGACATGTAACTGTTCTAATTGCTTATGGGAAAGGAACAGGAGGAGGGGGAAGGCCCCGCACGGGGCAGCGCTGACCGCCTGTTATCAGCGAGAGAAGGCACGGTTGCCATGGTACCAAAATGGAGGTGTAATGCAGTAATCTAAATGAAGGCTGCACTTACCAGATGGGGACATGTACTCTGCATTGGCCCTGCAAACCACCCGAACTGGCAGATTGCACATTTGCAAGAAGGCCTGGAAACAAAGCATTGAAAGAGCATTGATACACCAGTGACAAACAAATGCCTTCTTCTAGATACATTTGACTACATCTTAGCAAACTGTTAGCAGGCACCAACCAAGTACACATCCTTGCATAATGCTTCTAACAAAAAAAGGAAACCAAGGTTTTCTAACTTCTTCAGACAATTGCTTATCATCCAGTCAATGGCTGGAATTCCTCTAATTAAGATTCTCCCCCACACACACACTCTTAAGAGACGCAAAGAAGCAGTGCTGTAGCTGCAAGAAATTAAGTGACGTTCTGCTCCTCCTGAAAATCACAGTGCGTACTTCTTGTGGCTGAAGCTGGCTAACCAAGCTGACGCTGTGTAACACAGCAAAGACACACAGCACCTTCCCACATTGGAACAGTCATCAGAAATTTTGCTTTACAATACTCTGTGAGCATGTCTGCTTTATTTATTTCCTCTACTGCACGTGAACTGTGAGTGCAAGTGATCGATTTACTGTTTCTTTCATCTCCAACCCTGGATTCAAACATTCTCACTGGGATGCCCATTGTTGTCAGCAGCTGCCATTGCTACAAAAGCCCCAACGTGTTTCTGTTTAAATAGCAAAATATCAAGAAATGCAATTTAGTTGTATCGTGGAAACAAGGAATCTTAATCTCCAGAGTCTCTCACAACTCAGCTGAAGTCCTCTCATTCGTTTTGTCTTTGCCAATAGAAAGGTCAGAACTCCAGATTCCAACATCGCACCTTTTTATCCACTGTGGCTGGAAACTAAAGCCTACACCATGAAGGTCACTAACTACGAAGAAAAAGGCTGCTGTAAGTTGAGGGACAGAACATGGTCTGCATTCACTGTAAGCAAGCAGACCAAATCCAAAATGCTAAGATCTTCAAGGAAGGCAAACAGTACAGCATACTTTTAAACCCTGTTTTGGAAACAGCTATCCCAGCCTGAACTCCATTTGTACAATGTACTCCATTTACATTTCAGCCTCATTTGGGAGAGGAGATAGTAAACCGAAGGAAACAAGGTACCCAGCATCCAGCAAAGCCCTGCCACAGGCTCCCAGAACCTGACCCAGCCATAAATAACTACATTTAGGAAATCAGTGCCCATGGCAGAGGGGCACCTCTGCACTACCTAAGACCACAAGGCATTAACAAGTATCAACATCAACCCTGTTCCTAACTTGGTTTCTGTAGTACCCATCAAGCAAACAAACAAACCACGCCTCTCCTCCTCAGGTGCTTTGTTCCCAAACTCTAACCCAAGCACTGATGCTAACAGTACCAGGGAACAAAAGCCAGAAGCTTTGGTCCCTTGCAGTGCCTCTTCCAATCAACTCAGGAACCCCACAACCCATTACATCACTTGGCTCTCACTATTTCAGATGACCTAAGTAATCCCAAACCCCAAATTAAAGCAGGGAGCTATGGTCACAGCTGCTAAAGACAATGATTGCAGCTGACAGGAGCACGGGCCTCTGAACCCGAGAGGCTCTGCAAAATCCACCAGTAACCTGAGTTTTTGATTTCTTCCTAACCCCAACTGAAAGTACTGCTCAGGAGCCAATTAGTACACACCCACAAGTCGATGCACCTCTGCCAAATGCTCAGAACTTTGACCTAGTCTAGAATCAGCTGGTCATTAGATTGCCAAACCTCATCCCAACCAGCACCCCTATAACTGCTTATAGCAGCAACCATCACCCACAGAGAACACAGGGCACTGGTCACATTTGACAACATCACACTTTCCAAGTGCACAACCACCAGAACTCAATGCTCTTGTAGTCTCCGCTTCCCGAACTCCATGCAAGCAGTAAGAACCCAAAGGAATAATTCTTAAGCAGGAACATAAGGCACTGTCTCAGCGCTGCAGCTCTTCCTTTGCCTATTGGCTCTGGGGCTCCAGCGCCGGTGCAGACTGTTCCAGCTATTGCTATATGCATCGTGTCCTCTGCCCAAATGGGGCACTGAGTTCACTGCAATTCTGTATTAAGCTTGAGATGAATTTTAAGGCCGCCATGTACTGTTCCCACTGCTGGTTCAGATGAGAATGTCTGATCTGTGCTGGAACACATGAATAACTAAAAAGCTCATGAGCGCAGAGACACAGTCAAGCAAAAGGAAGTACAGGACTATTTTTACATTTCCACATCGGTGCAACAAAAATGAGATATGCCAGCACAGAGCAGTCAGGTTATATGAGCTGCTTTGGCAAATTCTTGTCCACTGTACATTGGCTCCTCCACAGTACAAAGTTTCTACCAAAAACACGGCTTGTGTCTGTGAAAAGCATTCCTCAGTATTGAGGTTAAATTATAAACAAAATCTTTTTAGTGTAAAGAGTTCAGCCAAGAGTTCAGCAGAAATCTGAACGTTCCTTCCTCCCTCCTCCTCCACAATAAACATCCACAGACCAAGGAACATCGACCTCTCTAATACTTGGCAGGGAAGTTCTACCTCGG